ATCTCCGTACATTTCCTTAAAGAGCCAGTTAAGAGAATTTGATAAAGGATCTATGCATTTTTTCTTTGGTGATCATTATATCAATTCTCACAACCTTTTCTCTTGATTATGTATTGACTCAGTTAGGAGAAAATTGATATTGGTCACTCTTGGGAAATTTCTTTACCAATGCTTCCTTGGCTCTACTAGCTTCTTCCTGGTATTCTATCATTCTTCTTTCAAGCTCCTCCTTTTGTTGAGCTATTTCCTCACGTGCTTGTTGTTCTTTCATCAGCTTATCCCTCTCGATCTACAACAAACAATTTTAAAATGAATACCAAAAAGTAAGCAAATATGTATGTTGTTTACTGTTACAAATATTTTGAGTGTTATTTCAAGTGTTTATGAATGTCGTTGTACATTAGTTCTATAAATTATGTGATACTGGATGCAAAAGTTAAAAGGTATATATGAATTGAATTAATTATTATATCAAGTGCCTTTATACTTTTAAATTTTCTACGACTTTCATAAAACAATTTTTCTGTCAGCTTATGAAAACCCCACTTTTTGCAGGGTTCCCATTCATAAAAATAAAATCAAGATTGGTTGCTTTTTTCGTTTATTCTACTCTTCTGCAAACACTCATCAGTCATGGGTGCTAAAGAGTTTGGAAAATTTGGCTACCCCTCACATAAAGTTGGAATAAGTTCTCACACACTTCTCTTGCATAAACGCTTGAAAACTGAATAAACAGAAATCTTTTGACATTCACCTGCCGTCTCATTTTCTCCTCTCTGGCTAAAGATCTCATCTGTTGCATTTCCATAGTATCTGGTTTTCTCCTCCGTGTGAAAAGTTCATGATTACCAATACATAAATCAAGAATCTGTCATGGAAAAAAAATGAAAGGAAAGTATGAAGAGAAAATTATTATAATTTTCAGGGCATTTTAGTATCTGTGTCACACAACCAGATTATACATTCAACAAAGTACTGAAAAAACACAGTTATTCTGCTTGCATACGCACCACTTTGTTGACTCTAAGTTTTGCTGCATGAAATATAAAATCTGGGGATGATCTTTCTGCTGGTTTGATCTGAAACTAAGTAAAAGAAGCCATGTGTAGACTTAATTAGTGTATATGATTTGACTTCATTAAAAAAATGGGTGTGTAGCTCAAGAAGACTTCATTACTGTGTAGTGTTATTGCCAGGTTGCAGATAATAAAACCAATCAGGCATCAAGGATGCGAAAACTAGACTCTGTAGGGCTTTTACTAAAATTTCAAGTTTCAGCGTGTATGAAGTTAGTAAGCATACATTGAACTGAATAGTTAAAAAGGTAGTTCACCAACTGACACGTTTATGGTGTGGGTGAATGATGAGCAAAATTCAAGACTGATAAATTTTATCCCTGAGTTGCTTTCACCATTTGCACTAAACAGTTACCGTTATGCCAAAAAACAGCCGTGGAAAGCTGAAACTGGTATCAAAGATTGCTTTGAAGAAATGGAACACAAATGTCTGTTTGGATATCGCGACCGGTAAAACAAGAAGGCTGCCTTTTCAGACGTTCCATTGCTCCGGGATATGTTCCACTGAAACTGACGACCTGAAAAGCCGTGTTCCATTTACTTTCCAAACGGATTTTCTGGAAAGTTTTTGTAAATGGTAAACAACCAAAGTTCTGTTGACGCTATTTTCCTTGTGTCTCCAATGAAGGTAGCCATGGGTCATGCTTATAGCAGCCATGGAATTCCCCAGCCCCTGAGCCCTTAGTTACAGCCCTGAAACTGCTAGCAACAACTGAAATTACTTTGCAGTTGTGGCTTCCTCAAGTGATTGGTAACAACACAATACCAATCCTGAGATATTTCAGGTGTTTGTGGTTCTCCAGATTTGACATTGAAAATGGGATTATAATGGACACTTACTCGTTTATCGTGAAAAGAAATATTCTTTGTCTCATTCCAAGGAAAGGAGATTTTTGGATTAAGTTTGTTGTCTTTCTCGTATATGTTTAAACCATGGGCATCAATCCCAAGCCACAAATCTGTCCCTTTTCTGTTCTGCAAAATGACAAGGGCAACCACTAAGTGTTAAAGAAAACATTTCCTTCAGCCATTCCTTCAACTGTTCTAAAATTATTTCTGCAGTTGTCCATGAAATCTGTTTTGAATGGCTTGTCTATCCATTCACTTGCCATTCAGTTGTTTGAACAGATACAGTAAAAAACATTTTTGTGTACAAGGCCACAACTTTGCTGCGTTAAAGTAAAGCTGTACACCAAACTTTCAAATAATTTACAAAATAACAGGAAAACAGTGTAAAGTGATATCAGTTATAATGTAATGATGCAAAGAGAGGACAACAATACAATCAATAATAGGCACTGAGGTAAACATGCATCAATTCAAATGTTTATTAAACACCGTGGTGGATCCAGGGGAGGGGCCCAAGCCCTCATTGAACATTTTTCAACCAAAATGATGGCCCAAGAAAAAAAAATTATTATTATGAGACCCCTTTCCCTGAACACAAGGTGAGGACGAGCAGCACCCCCATTTCCTCAAAGTCTAGATCCACCACTGAACAATTTAACATTTGTTTGCGGATGCAAAATGTTAGATGCTGAAAGCCATTTAAATGCAATGTTAAGAGAGGTGGCTAATCAGAAAAACAAGCTCTTCAAACACGATGCTGGATGAAAACATTTGATCATTTAGCCAGGGCTTTAAGGCCTATTTAAACTTTTCAGTACAGATAGTAGTAACTATATGTTGGGACCCTTATATAATGCAACTGGTCTTAACTAAAGAACCCTTTCAGAAGGACTGACTGTTCTTAGGAGTCACAGTACCTTGATTTCAAAGTAGCTCACTCCATACATCTCTAAATCTTGTGCTATTTTCAAGTACTCCATTTCTGCTTCATCTCTGGTGTAAATGAAATGATAGTTAAAAAAGCTAATTGAGTTAACAATTGCCAAACCAAAACAAATTTGCTTTGACCAAACACTTAAAGTGAGAGTCCAATGACTAGAATTGAAACACAAATGGGCAATATTAATCGCAGAGCATAACTTTCTAGGTAAGGCACCCCAGTTCCGTGATGACAATTATGTTGACTCCAGGAATTATAAACAGGGGCAAGTAAGGGAAAAAAAACAAAGAACAGTGAAACCTTCATGTGGAACCATGTCTCATGTGGAATCACCTATCATAATAAAAATCACCACCTCCCACAGAGTGATGCCACCAGATCTTGGCATTTTGGGTAGTTTGTCGTGTAAGGATCAACCACCACTTATTTTTATTCTTAATTATTTTCAACAGCAAAAAAGCTCTGCCTAAGTTGGTGTTTGACTTTTGGCTATGTCCCTATTTGTCTTTTGCAACCAAGATCAAAATAAACGACCAACTGCATTGCACTATGATCAACTCCAAGAGTTGCTTAAGCCCCTGGCACTATCAAAACTCAAGCATACGAGACACATGAAACCTAATATTAATCAAGATGACCATTTTCTGTACTAACAGCAGAGAAAGAAAAACAGTTACACCTTCTCATTCCTTTGTGTTCAGCATACCATGAGGTAATTCTTTCTTCCCACATGTCTGATGTCATCTGGTACTGGTCAATAACCTGAAGCATAAATTAATCGTGAAACAAATTTTCTTTAATGAAAGCACAACTGCCACAAAAACAGTGCTCATCAGGTGTTGCTGTGCATGTAATCTTTTAGTGCTTTGTGAAAAACATACCTTGACATTAAACCATGCATTTGATCCTGGAAATTTTGGTCAAAATAATATATTGTCTGAACTAAAACACTAAACAGGTGGAGCTGTTTTCTGGTCACTTCCAGGCCAAAAGAATCAAAAGTGAAAATACTATTAGAAAACTATTCTGGCTTCAGTCTGTCCCCGGTGCAAAACTGAAGCTTCTGAAGTTTGGGGGAAAAGTTGAAAAATTTCAAGATGTTTTGTTTGAAAGAGACACTGCCTTCTCTATGTTTACCTTTTGCTTCTTCTCCTTCCCCTTTTTTTCACTTTTTTGCCCGTTTTTGTTAGTTTTTTTTTGCTGAACATTTACCAGGCTTCATTTCAGAGGGAAAATTTTCCCTGAAGATCATGAAATATAACTTTCAAGGAAGTATCCTATGGATGGGTGGTGGAACGAAATATTCATTATAACAGTTTTCCTGTCTTATACTCTCCTGTTCTCTATTTCTGAATCATATGGATGCACGTTTGGTTTAAAAGATCTCTTTGCCTTCCACAAGTTAGAAAATATTTTGACACAAGCGGGACAAATCAAAATTTTGCCTCGTGTCCACATCTTCCATAAAACTTGAAATTAGGAAGTTTCACATCCTAGTTGTGCAATGACAACAAAGATATGAACAAAAAAAATGTTATGCATGTGCAAAGTTGTTGTTTTGCTTATAAAAACTATAAAATTCTGCATTTTTGCCCTTCTCATTGCCATCGCCACTGTTGTTGCTTAAGTTGACAGAACCTAGCACAAAGGAAAACTGAACGCGTCAATGAATCACATGATCGATGTAGCCAGCTACTGGGCATGCGAATGCCAAAGACCGCTGACTTCGGGCACTTAAGGTGCTCTTAGTTGTTAACTCCTTTAAATTGCATTTAAATGTATTTAACACGTTAGTGGAACCTCTTGACATACAGCTAGGTAATAACACTACAATTGGCAGTCAAATCATAGAAAGGATCACCACATTAACTCCCAAATACTGACCCTTTGAGGAAGCAATAAATCATTTGTAAGAAATCCTGGAGTATGAAATTCCTTGTCATAGTCCCCATACTAGAATAAAACAAAACAAAATTTGAAAAAAGTTAGCACTCTTCAAGGACAATTGCGTACCAATAAGATACAATAATTAGCGATAAACATCATCTATTGTGAGCTATTACCACTGTACCTGTGGTCGTAACTTAGTAGGTGTCTAATTCAATTACCATAAATTCTCTATTAAGCCCCCTGGGGGAGCTTATTAATTCAAGCCCATTTGAATGGGGGGGGGGGGAATTTAATTTAATGGTATCAGTTCTCCATAAAGAACTAGAATACAAAGTGGAAACGTTCAAGTACAAGAAGGTTGGAGGTCATGCTGCTGAGGATCAGAAGAAAAATTTATCTAAACTTCCATTTGGTAAATAAACCACCCTGGATCAGCCCACACAAACTTGATGATTGATTAATACACTCTATCATTTATTAGTCAGGAATAATTAGGGGAGTGGAGAAGGGGGGGGGGGCTTATTAACATAGCTTAAGCTTTATTTGTTTACATTCACAATAAATAAACTATAATTAACTTTCTTCCCCTGAAAAGGGGAAGAAAGATTATTAGGGAGGGGGGTTATTTGAGAGGGATTAAGAGAGGATTTACGGTACTGAGTATCTTTACCTTAGCTTGTACAGCATAGGAAGCTAGGAGAACAGATGCCTCTGGCGGACAGAAGATGTCCATGTTCAAAATGGCTTCCTTTACTTGCAGAAAAAACAAGTGCTGTGTTATTTCTTGCATGAGTTCCTCAGCTACATCCTCAGGATAAAACTTGATTCGGAAATTTAGACTCACTGGATCCTCCTTTGGAATATCTTGATCCAAGACCTGTAAAATGTGCTCCACAGAATGTGAAATTAAGCATTTTCATGTTGTAGTTGTGCAATGGCAGCAGAGAAATGTACAATGAAAGGCTCCTAGGAGCGAGCTCATGGATGAATTGAATTGTAAACAAGCATGGCTTCTTGTTTGGGGGACCAGAAAGAAGTGCAGAACAAGTGATTTTTAATTGGCTCACAGAAACTATAGGACATTACAAAGGCTTTCCATAATCAAAATGCAAATTTGCCACGGTGAAGAAATTTATTTCTTCAAAACTAATAGCACTGTAAGTATTCACTCGCCAATGCACATGATGCTGGAGTCTTTGGAAAACTTGACATTGTGAATGGCTCAAAGATGCTTCCATCTTTCTTTCGTTGGTCTTTGAAAAAAAAACATTGCAAATGGCAAAGAAGCTTGTCAAGATGATCAGGTGCAGCAGTGTAGGTATTTGCAGTGATGTTTGGTATCATATTTGTCAAAAGAATTGGTTGTTTTCTCTTGGGCAAAACCCCTCCAATCTGTGCCAGTTGATTTTCGTCTTTTTAACTGTGTACTGCGATAACACTGACTAAAATCCTCTTCTTTGATAAGATTATCATTCAGTTTCTTCATCGCCTTTATTCACAAGTAAACACAGGTCAAAATGTTGAAGGACAAAGTCAGCATTCAAGTCCTCAAGGTTGAAAGATGTCTTATAACTTTTTTTAAACCCTTGTTTTTTTCGAGATAAAGAGATTTAGAGCTGTGAAGTGCACGAGCATTTACTCTTGAGATTTTGGTCTGTATAACAAGTTACAGACCACAAATTGACTGATCGCACAGCAGAAACAGACTGAGCCATATAATATGCAAATTATTTGAGTTTTATTCATTTAAATCTTACTTTTGCATTATCTTTTGTTCTTTGCATGAATTGGCTGTGCAATAACCAATTAAATTTCCAAAAATATGATAGTAACCTATTTTGAAGAGACAAGTGTTGGAAGCTTTTGTCTAGCTTTTGTTCAGGGAGCAGGTCAAGACTGCCGAGATGAATAATACTTTTCCACTTTCGTCTCAGAACATGCTTATAATCAATGAACAGTGTTACCTTAATCGCATTACTCTCATTATTTTACACAAAATAAATAGTTATTATTACATACATACAATGGACAATATAACCATTGAAATTTGACACTCCGGTAAACGTTGGATTCTCAGAGAAATCAGATTAACAATCAAATGACTGCCAATATAAATTTTATTCTTGATACACTTTTGTTCTCCAGAAAATTACTGACATCATAGAGCTATGAAAATTAAAATTGTTTACAAACATTCTTAAATGGAGAAAATGTCTTTTAAGGACAAGATGTGAATTAAATGAAAAACAATTAAATATTTGACACCTTATCATGTAAAATCAGTCAAGGATGATAAACACCCTAAAAGACTTTAACAATTAACATTGATGAATTTTCTACCTGAAGCCACATGGCATTTTGCGTACACAAATTTAATTGATGCAACCAGATTAATTAACCGCCCGATACTAGATCAATCTAATTTTCTAGCCATTAAAGAAGGGCGTGTGATACCTCATACCTCACAGAGTAAATATGCTTCAAGCAAAAGATAAATCAACCATATAATGACGACTGCACGACCACCTGCTTACAATGACAATTGTGCGAACAAAAGGCAACCTTACGAGGCTTTTAGCTATTGTTTTGATTCGCTCTGGGTTATTTAGTACGTAGTGTCAGCTGTGATGCAAAAATAGTTTTTCATCAAATGGACAGATTTTTTTAATTTGCCCTCCGAACTTTCCCAAATTTTAAATCAAGGCTTCACTGAATTCAGCCTTGGTTTTCGAGGCTCAAATACATGTAAGTGTGGCGTTGGAAATTTTATTATTAGTTAAATACAGTAAATTTACAAGATAAGCCAAAAATGAAGAAAAATACATATGTCGTGGGAATTACGCTGAAAACAGAAAATTGTATCGCTAGCTTATCAAAACGTCAACAAATAATGTACATGCCACAAAAATGAGCTTAATGAAAACTATTAAGTTAATAGCACGTACGCTAATGAATTGAGATCCGACATAAGTAAGGAACTCTGTAATGAGCAGTGATTACTTGAAGTTCCACCATGCTCACATGCTGCGTTTAAGCGGTTGATATTGACATTAATTTTTCAAATGACTTACGTCAAAATAAACCTGTGTCTACCTACATAACCTTACCTTCTTATTAAATTTTAGCCACGTAACAACATTTTTCCGATCAACAAATTGCAAGCCAAAATACCATGTTTCCCGAACACCCAGGGTTCGTACGACGAGATCGAACAACTCTTTTCCAGTGCAATTTCTCTGTAAGAGAGAGAGAGAGACGAAAACGGCGTAATTTATCAAATTAACGCGTTTAAATAAAGAATCTACAGTGAAAAGGACGCTAATAGATGCCATGTAAACAACATACAGCAGCAGTTGTGTTTATGAACTAACCTCGACTGAAAACTCTAATTCCGCGTCCAGAGTTGTGATACGAACATCGTATGTCTTCGGCATAATTACGCAGCATCTGGGAAGATTCTTGCAACCCAAAAATGCTACAACAAGATCCTTGGCATTCTACATTGCAAATCTATTTCTGATACAGCATTGTCATCATTTCCTTTTCTTATATGATTACGCTCAAAATTTTTGAAATGCCTCGGAGCGTGGTCAAAAACAAAGTGTCAAAAACATTTATCCAGGAGCATAACTCCGCTGACCAAGTTCGCTCCCGTCATGTAGCTCGCACTAAACGTCGCAGAAAAGTGGTTTCAAATCAAGGCTACTAACTAAGACTACTTTTACCCGCTCTAGTCCGCTTTCGTTAGATGTAGGCTGAAAAGTTGATTATCATGTCTGTCACCACTTTCAAGCATCATATTACACAGTCGTCTAGTAGAGTTAGGGCCTCTTCACACATGTCACATTAACCGAGAAATTATTTCAGCCCGGTTTTCCGACATGAGACTGAGGCCAAACATGGCGAAATAACAAAAATTTTAACTTTCGCGCCTACCATAGCTTCGGCAACTCTTAAAACTGTATCACGGCAGTTAAATGGGATGCTTATGATGTGGAAAATACAGCAGGCAATGCTGTAACGATGCCGCAACGACGCCATCCCATGATCCGGAACGCCAGAATGCATCCCGCTATCACGTTCATCCTGTTAACCGGTCTGAAGTGTTGATATGGCAAAGCAGAGCTCCCATAAAAACGCCTGCGTGGGAGGCTATGTAAGTCACGGACGAGAGGCACAAGGCCTCCTTCCTCGCATTACAAGACATCTCCCGTACGTTAGCTTTATTTTACCCTAGGGAATGGCGGGTGTGCCCTCACCTTTGCTGGGATGATGTTCTTGTGTATGTGGTTTTCCCAGCTTCATATGCTTAAATTTAATAAACGGCCACTCCCGTGGCCAAAATATCCCATAAAGGGTTTGTGATTATTTTGTATCCCAGCAAACAGAGCTCGCCCAAAGCGAGACTCCACCAACATCAATAACTCTAGTCATATGTAAAGGAACATAATTATCATTAGTGCCACCTCATGAAATTTGCTTGGTATCATCTTCATAACTCTACACAGGCATTTTACAGGGGCACCCAACGGCAATTTTCGGGAAATATCTGTTCGGAAGACGATTTGAGAACTAGAATTTTCGGAACATTTGTTGTAAAATTTCTTGCTTGCCTGCCTCTCCTAGGATTTTCGAACATCTACGAAATGGTATAATTACCCATTTTAAACGGATATTTACCCTAAAAAAGGCCACCTAGAACTTTCGGGAGCCTTTTCCTGGCTGAAATTTTCGAAAAGGTAAGTTTTGATCCCTATAATTTTCGGATCACTAGACTTTCAGCTAGGAAATCCGAACAGATGAAAAGTTTTTAGGGGATAAAAATATGCCTATATCTACCGTTTAAATACTAAAATACGTTCAACAATGCCATGTTAAGTGGTTTTGAACTATATCCTCGTTGGGTGCCCCTGATTTTACATAAGGGTTGAGGCATTAAGTTGACTTCATCACAGAATTGACCTAAAACAGCAATATCCTCGTGACATAGCTACTTAAAGGAGATGTTACACGGGACGATTCGCAATGACGATTTTTAGCGCAACACAGCGTTGCAATGCTGGAACAATGTTGTAACCATTCGAACAATGTTGCAACACTGTGTTGCGCTAAAAATCGTCGTTGCAATCGTCTCGCGTAACATCACCTTAAAAATCAGTCACAGCAACCAGCAAGGTTTACTGCAATTTGAAATTTACATACATTTAGAGAGCGTTTATTTAGTTCACAGGACTTGTAAACCGAGACGTGCACACAAAGGCGTGTTAGAAATGCCATCTCCATTACACTAACCATCAGAATTCCGTTTTACCAGTATGTAATATCGTCAGTGTAAGTTTCCCCACAGGTTATGTTTTTGAAGTCTTCCTCAAGTGAGTTACTGTCTTTTAATCCTTTTCCCTTTCTGGGATTAATTTTTTTCCCTGAAGATAGGGCTGTTTTGTTACCGACTGCAAATCAGTCGGTTTTTTCTCAAGATTGGTTTGTCATGGCGCACAGTCTAGTTTTGTAGGACTTGGTTATTCCTTTAAGTTTTGATTCCTTCCTTCCCAAGGATGCAATAACAGAAGTCCCAAGTTTGTACTTCCAGTGTGCAGAGAAAGTCATAGACTCATGTACGAGGCTAGTGGACTTTTCTATCAGGCTAGTGAATTCTGTTCTTAACTTCTCCGATGGGCAAGTGAAGTTTCTTGGTGGAATTCAAATTACAGAAGAGCTGTAAACAATTCGGCTCGTCTGAATTTTTTTCAGGCAAGTTAAAAAGTCTCATGGTCTAATACATGCTATTTCAGTAAGTTACAAAACTGACGTTATGTGCTCTCTGACTTCACATCAATTAAATAACATTCCACCAATTTTTGTATAAAGCAGGTTGCAAAAATAGTTGCCTGCCTGCACTTGGATCACAAAATTACTGACAACTTGCAAAATTCAAGAAGGCTACCAACAACAACAAAAAAAATAATGTTATTTCTGATTAAGTCAACACTTTCACACCACCTACATATAACAAAATACGAGTAAGAATTTTTTAAATTCCAGAGGCTAAGAGTGGCTTTGGTAATTTTTTTTAACTATGATAAGTGGGGACAAGACGAGCGATTGGACGCCTACAAACAGGACAGTTGTTCACCTGCCGTGCGCATTCTAAGCAACAACAGATGTGGCCACAGTCTAAAATGACAACATTGCGTGGTCTGTCCATGCAAACAACACATGCTCCCTGGGGATCCAAGACCTCACCATCCCCTATAACAGTCACGTCATGCTGCATCCTCCGTATAAAATCATCTTCAATCTGTCTGTCACGTCGTCTCTTGATATACAAGTAAAGTGAAACAAGGAACAGAATTCCACTACCACAAGCAAAGATTGCGCTAAGAACTTTCCATATCTTCTTTCCCGATTGCAGCTGTCGGATGATGGCATCTAAGGTAAGTTGCGATAGATAATATGTCAGACCAGATTTTGGAGGTCCTATCTTGATGCCATCACCATCCAAACTGATTTCTCCAATTCCTGTTAGTGCTGTACCAACAGGTAGCATTTCTTCAATTGTTTGAAATCCCTTTGTCTTATCACCGGTGGCCCACTGTACCAAGGAATCAGCAACAGAGCCGGACACTGGCTCAAACTTATCAAGTATAACTTTTAGCTGAAGTTTTTCTGCAGACATTGGTTCCGTAACTTTGACAAGGATCCCCTTGTGTAATAAGGCAAAAGGGACTGAAGTAGCGGCAGAACTTATGGTCCTTTCAACATCGTGCCTAGAATTGAAAGATATGAAATCAATAATAATAATAATAGTAATCATCATCATCATCACCACCATCATCATCATAACAAGCATGATAATAATAATAATAATAATAATAATAATAACAACAAGATGGCTTTGATTGAGAACCTCAAGACTAGATCAAACCACAACACCTTTGGTGTGAGGAAATCTGTGATACAGGCAAGTTAGCAGTTGGGGAAAAGAATCTTGCAAAGGTTCTCAGTTATCTGGGTGACCCTTTGTACAACATTTTGCCTTGCCTCTTTTGCCTTATACGTTGACTAGTGAGAATGAAGAAAGACACCTTCTTAACACCACTGTAGTATTGTAACTTCCAAAAGAGGCAAGGAGGAATTCTTAAAAAAAATTGCATGTACAGTGTATAAATTTAATTTACTGGTGAATAAGAGTGAAGTTTAAACTCACACTAATTTTCATTGATAGGAAATTCAAGTGCAAGAGTTGCAAACAGGAAATTACATACCACAGTCTCGTTGTCTTACTCCATTCACTTTTGTGTTCCCGTGTTTTGATGCGTTGTATGAGTCCAATAGCATCTTGCACATGAGCACTTCTTATGACTTCTGTTCTTTTTAAAGGTATTGCTTCTCCTCTTACAACACCATATGGTATTGAATGATTCTCTGCCTTCCTCAAAGTGTCTATCAATTTTGGACCAATTTCCATTTGTACTGCATCCTGTTTAGAAAAAAAAAATGTTGGTATTACTGCTACTGGTCGCTACTGTGATCCATCAACAAGAGGAGAATAACATTTTCCGGGTTCACACAGATTTTGGATGCACAATTCAAGACTTTTTGAGGGTGTCCAGCGGAATGGTTGCTCAAATTAATAGGAAAATAGGAAACTCAGGATTGAGAGAATAGGAAAAATAGAAAACTTTGTATTAAAAAATAGGAGGAAAATAGGAAAATCAACAGTACTTTTCTTGACAAAGATAGACTCCCTGCACCACATCAGGGTGATAATTAAGGCTACGAGTCCTCAGCTTCAACGTTTGCAGGATTTAGATAAACTTTCACAGGCAGGAAGGCATGAAAATGATCAGTAATGTTTAGTTTATTGGCTCAGAATGTGTAATCAGAACTGATGATATGCTTGACTAGAGGTTGAGGGTGGTTCTATAATCAAAGATGATCATATGCAAATTCTCTTCAAGTTGGCGGCAAATCTTTGAAAAGCTTGAAGGATATCGAACTGGGACTTAAAAGTCCTATGGAAAGCTTTCCTTCCATTAATCCACAATCAGTAGCTGGTTGAGAATAATTACGCTTGTTTGGGTCAAAAGACAGAACATTTTAATTTAAGTACAGAACAAGGCTTTCCACTGTGTGCGCAAAATGAAACTGATCTATTTGGTACCAGAATGTAAGTGTGTCATGGTTAAGTTCTAAGAAAAACATAACACTCTTGTTAGCTATGTCTGCAAGACCGGTTTTGCAACCAAAATATTGGATCCTTCGTCAGTTGCTTAGGTATAGCTGTGGCTGGCCTCCCGTAGTACATACAACAAGAGGAGTTGCTAACAATCAACACGAACGTCCCAAACGTAGTTTATTCACAGGTCCTCGGTACAACACATTCTTTTTACTCCTTAGTTCTTGGATCCTGAGTCCCGAGATAACAATCTGACATGACAAATACATGATAGGCTAAATACGTGATTCGTAAGTACTAAACTTCAAAATGTCGTGTGAAATACTCTCTTGGGATTTTCCGTAAAATGTTCTTTTAACAGTTCTTACCGTTTAGGCCGTATAATGTCCGATGGATGGCGATAACTATCCAAAAACTTGAACAACACGAGAAAGGGCTAACATGGCGGCCGCTTACTAAAATCTGGTGCGGCTGCTAAGCTTTTACAACATACCGCTGACTGCGCAGCGCTGCAGTCACAATAGCTGTTAACAGGCTAAAGGGCTCACCGAGGGGGCTAGTGCTGTGAACTAAACTTTAGCTGTTCTTTTCATGTAGCATCCAGAATCAGCTAGTGATGCAATGGTGTTTTAAACAAGAAGCTGATTAGATGTCCTTTGTTGTGACAGGACAACTTGAAAAAAAGGCAAGATTTCCTACCATTTTTCCAGACTTAATCTTTATTTTCCACACATGTACAGATTTTTTCAAGAATTCAAGAATCTGAATAAACACTGCAATTATGAATATTTCTTTCATAGTAAAGCTTGGGAGGATATTACACGGTGGCAAAATAATATTTTATGAACACGCAAGTGAGTAAAATATTGTTTTTGCCACAAGAAAACAAACTTCATAGTATCTTCAAGCTGTCGTGATCGTGTAATTGAAAAAATAATAGATAGTCGTGCCAAAGGACATGCGAAATGAAGTCTTACAGACCATCCACTCAGGCCACTAGAGCAAACCCAAGTGCATTCTCTGGGCTAGAAAGTATGTATTCTGGCCAGGTATCTCCAATGACGTCAGACAAATGGTGAAAGACTGTCACTTATACAACAAACACTGACCAGCTCAGCCAGTGCAGCCAATCATGCAACCTGATCTTCCCAGTTGACCATGGGAATAAATTAGGAACAGACATCTATGTCTTCAACAGAAGGAAGTACCTCATCATCATCTACTATTACCAAAATTACATCATCCATAAACTCACACGTGAGATTATGGAAAATAAACCACTCTGGTTCCGGATGTAGTTTTTATGAATTTCATGAGTGGTATATTTTCTAGTAAAACACTAATGTCTATATAATAAAGTTGATTGACACACTTCTCCAGAATGACATGTGATCTCTAATAGGAAAATGCACGTTTAAATGACTAAGAATAGTTCAAAAGATGGTCATCAAGCCATCACTTACATACAATGGGGACCATTCAAACAGCTTCCCCTGTCTTATACCTCAAGGCCAAGTTTCAGCATTGTTCTATGCGCCAATCTAAAGTTAGAGCAGGAAACATGCAACACATGTGTTGCATTGTGATGATCTCATTTTAGATGTGATATTTGAGATGTTAGGAAATTTGTCTTTTACCCAAAGAACTCTTGTCAATTTCTTCATTAAAATCTACGTTTTTTCTTTATTGAAAAATTATAGCAGATTAATATCATAGGTGACGAATTACTCCTTAATTCTGGCACAAAATTTCAGCGTTAATTTGTAATTTCACATGTGAAATTACTAAATTGCCATGGCAACCTGCCGTACGTCTCCGTTTCAAGATGGCGACGAAGTTTTAAAATGTCATGAATAAGATGTCAGGGCATAAAGAGACGCTTTAGAAAACTTGAACACACGAAAGAGCACATCAAGAAGGATTCTTAGAGGTATGTTGTGGAAAAATTCCGAAAACTTAAGCCAAATTTCAGCTCTAAACGTTTGAGAGAGTGGAGTTCACGATCGATCGATACGATCCAGGATAAACAAGTCAAAAATCCTCGATTGCTATTAAAGGTAATTCGTCACCCATGATATTAATAGGTAATCAAATGGTGTACTCGTGAAATTAGGGAATAATGTCACTTGCGTTTTGTCCAAATCCTAATAATTTCCCTCGCCTGAAGGCTCGGGAAATTATAAGGATTTGGACAAAACGCCTGTGAAATTATTCCCTAATTTCACTCGTCACCATTTGATTACACATACTTATTGTATTTTATCATCGAAGTGATTGTCAAAATGCTCTTCAGCAGCGTTTGCTGCTGTCCTCAACATGCCATGTTACCATGTGGACAATTGGGCTCAACGTAGTTGTTTTCATTGTCAGGATCGGGAGGAGATCGGAATAATTGTAGCACTAGAAAGTGGAGCACAACTGGCCATAAAAAGAGAAGGAGAGAGTTGCATTGCTTTTATAAGGATAAAATTTATCTCTAAGAGAGATGTAGAACACTTGAGCTTGAGGTAAGCTGGACTCGATAGATTTTTGCAACTCTGCCGAAATTATGTGGCTGTGTTATTTGTTTGTGTTTGCCTTTTTCGAAACCTCAGTATTCTGTGTATCTTAACCCATCTCTCATATGATTTTTTTCTTTCTAGATGGCTTTATTAAGCTAATGGAAGTTCCCTGTGCATTCAAAATAAAATGAACTAGTTGAAATTTGTGACACTTTTTACCCTTGAGTTCAAAGATGGCAGCTGCTTAGCTCTTACTGGTGTTTGAGTTTCTCTTGGTACAGAAAATCTAGCAAGCATGACTGTAGCTCTCCTTTACTTTTTCCAAGGAAAAAAGTAGATTGTACAAAGGATTTTTATACTGTAAATACCAAAACGTTGTAAACAGATAAACTGTAGGAGAGCTTTTTCAGAAAACTGATTCTCCGAGCATCCAGGAATTTTTTCTATATAATGGGCAACATTGTCTTGTTTCCCAATGCAGAACATTTAGGTATTAACAGTTTTGTTGTTGTTTTGTATGGTGGCAAAATATAAATGAGCAACATTATTGGCCATGTGACAGAATTGTTATGCGACTATGAATTACTGCTGTTTCAGATCAAGGTTTGGACATTTCTTCTTTGGAAGGGTGCCGCTTGACTACTGTTTCATATCAGGCCTGACCGTTCTTTTTTGAAACCAAATCGATCATCTTTCACGATATTGCTGATTGATAGACAACTTGGCCAGTCACAATGTTAGTTTCTTACTTTCAAATCCCTCACCTTATGGTGCATACAAATTTTTCCAGAAGTGAATACCAGATATTTTTAGGTAGAATGATTCTATACCTAAAACTAGTAATAACCAAAGGTTAAAAAGTGCGGGTGACAACGATCGAAGGTTTTTGCTCCAGCACTGTGCTTTGCATAAGTTTCACATGACAGATGGTCAAAACATGCATGATCAGATTACAAGTGGTCAAAGGTCGAAATGCGTGCAACCAAAATGCGTTATGTGCATTCCATTTATTCTTAGTGGAAGTCCACACGAATACTGACTACAAATATGCGACACATGCATAATAAAAACCTGGAGAGTAGGATTGCGCCCGCATATTGACTTAGTGGATTCCAAGGCATCTACAATGTACTGTCACATTCAAATTTCGCACTTTTGGCATATGTATTGCGATTCAATTTTTCCTTGGTTTAAATTTGTTCTTTTTGTTTCAAACTCATTATCATACATTACCATACCCCAAAACAAGAGAAAATAGAACGTTAACCAAGGATAAAATTGAACCACAACATAGGGTGCCAATCAGATCAGTCAGATTTAATCTCATTTGGGCAATTAGCACTGGAAAAACAACTGCTGCTATTGCCATGGCCTGTTGCTTTTTGCCTACCTTTTACCAAATTTGAACTTAATCAAACTCAATTGAGTGGATTCGGTTTGATAAAGTTTGATTAGTTTGATTAAGTTCAGTTGGTTTGATAAGCAAACTCACAGAAAAAGCTATCATTGTCTGATTATGTAACTTCAGTAATTTTGAAACACTTTCAAAAATGTCCAAAAAATACAGGTCTTGTTCTTGTACTGAGCTGTTCAATAGTGTTGTCCAGTTAAATTATGTTCGTTTACCCGACTCATATGAACTCAACCCAATGGACTGAGTTTGATCAAGTTTGATTGAGTTTGATAACTGAATGTTCAATTGATTATACATGTATCTCTTAGGCCCTGTTCAGACGCCAAACTTTTCATGAGTAAAACCTAATACATTGAATTAAGTACATGAAAAGTTTGGCGTCTGAATCAGTTTGGAACGCCTGTTTCAATTTGGAATGGCTCTACCGTTCTTTTCGCCTGGCCCGGTCGGGAATTTCGCCTTTGGAGCGACTTTGGAACGGCTTTGATTCAGACGCCGAACTTTTATGTACTGAACCTAATGCATAAATTATTGTTATAACGTATTTTGAAAGTAGTTTGACCGAAACGAGCATTTTTCTCCTTTTGAATTTAGTTTGGCTGGAACTAAGATCGGCATCTGAATCAATTCAGCCAGTCTAAATAATTTGGGTTGGCCTTAATTCGAATTAGGTTCAGCTCATGAAAAGTTCGGGGTCTGAACCTTACCTTAGATCACCTTATCTGGACTATTCTTACCACTTCCATGGTACTGAAGATTTCCCTACAGCCGGTTTTATTGTGTGGAATAGTTTGAAATTGCTGCATGGATTTATGAGGTTGTACGGAAATTGTGCCATTGGTTCTTTCAAATATTGAGCTTTAAGAGTTCTTATGTGGTTGACCCAAGTTGCATGATCACGCCAGCTGGAGCTGACTGCGCGTTGAAAAGACATTATTGAAACAGATGGAGCCATCAAGTTGTAAAAGCATAAGCGTTCAAACAGAAATGAAATCTAAATTGTAGGTGAACAAAAGATGGAATAAATTTACTGATGAGTTTAACTGCATGCACTGAGAATCACCGTTTATTACTGTACCTGCAAGCTCCGAATTGTTCCTTCTCTGTTCTTGTAGACTGCATAGAAAATAGCTGAAACAGCAGCACTACCCAAACCAGCCCATAAACAAAGGTAATCTGACATTCTTAGCTCTAAGATGACTATTTTATAGTGTTTCAAAGGGTTCCTCTTTCGTTATCGGAAGTCGCCATATTGCCTTGTGCTACACTGGTTACCAGTCCTACGCATGAATGATTAGGCGCCCCATGTGATTTTTGGATTGATATATGAAAAGATTCCCTCGCCACTCAGCCATAGCTCCCGTAGCACAGTCGGTTAGAGCGTCGTACTTATAAGCAGTACTGGCATCTTGCCAAGGGTGCTAATGATATGCGAAGGTCGCCAGTTCGAGCCTGGCCGGGAGCAAGGTTTTTTTTTCTTCTTTTATTCCAAAAAATCTTCTTCTTTTTTCTTCTAGTCAAAATATTCCTTGGAGTTACCTTGGAGAACGAAGGAAAAAAAAAAAAAAAAAAAAGGTTCGGTAACATGTATAAAAAGACCCAATAGTTATTTAGGGGTCTTGGAGACCTTTTCTGAAAAATCTATTTTAAATCAAGGGGACTTTTAAAAATTTTCAGTTTGTTAAGAAACTGAATATATTTTGTTTAGATTTCTGTTAAGTTAACTTTTAACCGCAATAAATAGTTTTAAAATAGGGGCCAACCATGAACTGAAGGGGGTGGGGCCGCGTGATTTTGAAAAAGATATCCGCAAGTGTATGGTAAGAAAAAATCCTCGGCACAAGTCCAGGGCTGGAATAAATTCTGGCAAGATGCTCTTTGGGTTTACGCTTAATTTACACTGAACTTTTTTTCCTTACTGCTTTTTTATCATGTAGCATAATAATGTGACCCCCTCAAACGGCTTTCCTTTTTTAATAAAATACACTTACTAACACCAGGCCTTTCCGACGGTTACCAAGCCTGGGAATGTTACATGTTTTTATTATCAAATTCAAAATCATTGGCTGGTGTTGGGATGTGAAGAACAAATTATGTTTTACGTGCACTCTAAATTAAGGATACCAGAAAAGGCTGTAGTGGAACATGATGTACACTTTATTATAAATAAATTTTTCATTTTTCAGTATCAGTGTTTGATAGGCGTGACATTTTTCACTAGTGCGGCAAGGTCCCCATCTCAGGCACTGTATCAAGATATCAAGTTTAGTCAAAAACTGGCTTAGATAACAATTAATATGCTTGTTCAAAGATTATTTCAGAGTTCCTTTGGAAAGTGTCCTTTTTCAACCCCATCCACATACGCGCTAAAAATCGGACAAAGTGTTGAAGAGAGATATAACGGCCACCGCCGGCAAGCACATATCCCAAGAAAAAAATTCATGGTGAATGAATGGGTTGAAAAAAAAATTATGCCTTCACCAAATCACTCCCAACCGCCCTCCCCACCTAAGAAATAAAATGGTTGTCCCCTTACATAAGTAAATATATCAGTTGATATGCGACTTTGGCTGTGAGGGAGGCATCCCTTATTTCTGCTTAACGGAAGTGTCGCAGAACGGGGTATGGTTTTTAGTGGAAACTTTTTATACAAAATGACGACATCCAAATCCTGTTTTTCCTGAAGAAGGACGGCCGTGCAGGGGCGTAGCGTGAGATTTTGAAGGTGTACGCACGGAAAGAAGACGAAGACAGGTTAGATCGCGGACTGTACTCCAAACTAGGAGGGTCCATGAAATTTTTCAAATTTAGTGGCTAATGCCATTTCCTGCGTTTTCCGGAGGACATTTTCGGTAAATAAATACGAACGGAAAAAACGACAGTTAGTTGTTTCTATTACATCTCTGGTACGGTGTTTTTGGTAAGGTACAATATGATAAAAAACTGAGCCAATGACACAATCAAGTAGGTTACTTGAGAGACCTCTGCTAGCAGGGAAGTAGGTTACAAGCAACGGGATGTGTAAAAACTCTGATAAAAATACTTTCAGGAAATAAAAAACATATCTTTTCTATATAATTTAGGTTGTACGCACGCGTGTATGTTCGTATATGGACGTTACGCTACTGGCTTGCCCATCCGAAACTATGGGAAAACTTCAACTGTTTTGTCTTGAACATGGCGCTTATCTTTTTGGACCGGAAGCCTTGGGCGCTTTCTATTTAACCAAAACAGTACGGTGGCAAATGGAACAAAAATTTCCCTGAAAAGTTTCCACAAATTCCGGAAAGTGTTGAAGTTTCGAAATGCGAACCATTCACTCGAACCGAAAATTCTGTAAATAGCAGGAGCAAAGTTGAATGGTACTGAAAACTTCCGGATCCTCGCGAGGTTGTCCTCTTTATTGGAAATTATCCTTGGAAAATGTTGTTCCACCGGCCACTGGAAGCTGCCGAAAATTCAGACCGGACGTTTGGAGGTTGTTTGTGAAGGCTGCCAAGCAATGAGTGGTCAAAATTTGTAGTAAAGACTTTTTCAACGATTGATAGTATTTCAACAACGGACAAAGGGACAAAATTGTAAAATTTTCATCCTCAAATCGCAGAAGAGACTTGAGCAAAAGAAAAACCAAACCAACCTTTTATTCCGGACTTTCCGCATCGCGACACAGTTTAAGCCACAAGCTGGAATATGCTCGAGCTGGCGATCTTTTTTTTCGGCTTTTTCTTCGTGATACTTTTCGAGCCACAAGCTGGAATACTATAGTACGGCTCGAACAGGTGACCTTTTACGGTTTTCTTCGTGATATACTTTTCGAGCCGCAAACTGGAATACTACGGTATAGTACGGCTTTCTCCTTGTGATACTTTTCGAGCCACAAGCGGGAATACTATAGTACGGCTCGAACTGGCGATCTTTTTCGGCTTTCTCCTTGTGATACTTTTCGAGCCACAAGCGGGAATACTACAGTACGGCTCGAACTGGCGATCTTTTTCGGCTTTTTCGAGCCACAAGCAAGAATACTATAGTACGGCTCGAACTGGCGGCCTTTTTCGGCTTTCTCCTTGTGATACTTTTCGAGCCACAAGCGGGAATACTATAGTACGGCTCGAACTGGCGATCTTTTTCGGCTTTCTCCTTGTGATAGTTTTCGAGTCACAAGCTGGAATACTATAGTACGGCTCGAACTGGCGATCTTTTGCGCTTTTCGAGCCACAAGCTGGAATACTATAGTACGGCTCGAACTGGCGATCTTTTTCCGCTTTTCCTTTCTCCTTGTGATACTTTTCGAGCCACAAGCGGGAATACCATAGTACGGCTCGAACTGGCGATCTTTTTTCCGCTTTCTCCTTGTGATACTTTTCGAGCCACAAGCGGGAATACTATAGTACGGCTCGAACTGGCGATCTTTTTTCCGCTTTCTCCTTGTGATACTTTTCGAGCCACAAGCTGGAATACTATAGTACGGCTCGAACTGGCGATCTTTTTTCCGCTTTCTCCTTGTGATACTTTTCGAGCCACAAGCGGGAATACCATAGTACGGCTCGAACTGGCGATCTTTTTTCCGCTTTCTCCTTGTGATACTTTTCGAGCCACAAGCGGGAAAACTATAGTACGGCTCGAACTGGCGATCTTTTTTCCGCTTTCTCCTTGTGATACTTTTCGAGCCACAAGCTGGAATACTATAGTATGGCTCGAACTGGCGATCTTTTTCGGCTTTCTCCTTGTGATAGTTTTCGAGTCACAAGCTGGAATACTATAGTACGGCTCGAACTGGCGATCTTTTTTCCGCTTTCTCCTTGTGATACTTTTCGAGCCACAAGCTGGAATACTATAGTACGGCTCGAACTGGCGATCTTTTTTCCGCTTTCTCCTTGTGATACTTTTCGAGCCACAAGCTGGAATACTATAGTACGGCTCGAACTGGCGACCTTTTTCGGCTTTCTCCTTGTGATACTTTTCGAGCCACAAGCTGGAATACTATAGTACGGCTCGAACTGGCGATCTTTTTCCGCTTTCTCCTTGTGATACTTTTCGAGCCACAAGCTGGAATACTATAGTACGGCTCGAACTGGCGATCTTTTTTGCGCTTTCTCCTTGTGATACTTTTCGAGCCACAAGCTGGAATACTATAGTACGGCTCGAACTGGCGATCTTTTTTCCGCTTTCTCCTTGTGATACTTTTCGAGCCACAAGCTGGAATACTATAGTATGGCTCGAACTGGCGATCTTTTTCGGCTTTCTCCTTGTGATAGTTTTCGAGTCACAAGCTGGAATACTATAGTATGGCTCGAACTGGCGATCTTTTTTCCGCTTTCTCCTTGTGATACTTTTCGAGCCACAAGCTGGAATACTATAGTACGGCTCGAACTGGCGATCTTTTTCGGCTTTTTCAAGCCACAAGCTGAAATACTATAGTACGGCTCGAACTGGCGACCTTTTTCGGCTTTCTCCCTGTGATACTTTTCGAGCCACAAGCGGGAATACTACAGTACGGCTCGAACTGGCGATCTTTTTCGGCTTTTTCAAGCCACAAGCTGAAATACTATAGTACGGCTCGAACTGGCGAAAGATACTTTTCGAGCCACAAGCGGGAATACTATAGTACGGCTCGAACTGGCGATCTTTTTTCGGCTTTCTCCTTGTGATACTTTTCGAGCCACAAGCTGGAATACTATAGTACGGCTCGAACTGGCGATCTTTTTCGGCTCAGTCTCCTTGTGATACTTTTGAAGCCACAAGCTGGAATACTATAGCAAGGCTCGAACTGGCGACTTTTCTGGAATACTAATTCTTGTACGGCTCGAACTGGCGATCAGTTTTGGAGGGACGAAAGACACTGGGGTCAAAGGGTGACAAGCCAAAGCATTAAAGCATTCGCCAATCCGCCAAAGCCAGCTCTCATTTTCGCGCCATTTTTCTTGGTAGCCGTTCATTCGTCTTGCGCACTCTGTTCAGTTGCATTCAGAGAACAAGAAGAGAGAAAATGGTTGGAAATTATCCAAACGAAATGGTAAGTTTAGTCTCCTTTTCACGTCCTTTTTCCGTTTATTTTTTTTCCGTCGGCATTGCACCAAAAATTAGCAGTTTAGAGATTTCTTACGTACTCGTGATGGACATTTTTCACGCGGTGCAGCCTGCTCTTTGATCTTGTCGTTACGCCGTCTCTGAAAGATAGAAATTTGTGTTTTAAGGTTGGATAAAGAGTGTATAAGCGTATTTCTTGTTTCGGAGAAAGAAAAATCACGCAGTGTAATTTAACTGTAAAACAATTTTGCGACTATATTTTTATCATTCATCATGAAATAGTAAGCTTAATTGAAATGCAAACTTGCGTAATCATTTTATGAAAATCGCGGAACACCTATCAATGACACTTTTCTGTTTGTTTAGTGGGATTTCTCTTATTGTAAGATGAAAACGAGCAGGAGGAATAGCTAGTTGATGTAAAATGTTTATTTCTTTTCTCAAAGTACCAAGTTTGATTTCCTGGAAAATTACGTACATCGGTTCGGGAGCAAAAGAAAGCAAATTATTGTGTTGAGAGCGAATGGTGCGCATCTTCCTTTTTAAAAAAATTTGGAACTGTGTTCTTCACCTTTCAATCATTCACATTGGTTAGGAGACTAACTGGTAATGTGATCCAACTTAAAACAGTGCAAATGAAAACTTATTGCCTTTACAGTATTAATGCTTATCCTTGTTAAATTTCCTTCGTCAATTGACCACGACCCTCAAACGCGGGCTGTGTGAATGAACTTTGAGCCGTGCCATTGACTCAACGCACTTTTTGGGAAAGAAACGTAAGCGCTTTAGTTTCATTCAGGTTTTAATCGTGTTTGTCCAGTTTTCTTAATATTTTTAATTTTACGCTTAATTTTTGTGTATGTTTTTTTAAATAAACATGCTTTACGAGGGCACGACACATACTATAGGAAAATTCATTACCTGACGAGGGAATTCCACGTTAAATTGCACGCGAAAACCGATATCGCACGAATCGCGAAGCGATGAGTGCGATATCGGTTTTCAAGTGCAATTTAACGTGGAATTCTCGAGTCAGGTTATGAATTTTCCTTGAATCGCATAATTGAATAAAAATCAGAAGAAAAAAAAAGAAAACAGCAATAATATTGTTTGTTTTTATCCTGAGCGCGCGCTCCAGAAAGCCATTTCAAAGTCAACTGTCAGAACTGTCATTGCGTTAGCGAATAGGAAGCAAGGTCAGTCGTACACGTTTGAACCTTCGACAACTTTTTTTGTACCTTCTGCTTGTTTTCACATTTGTTTTCAAACTTTTGACATGTAAACAAGCTTGACACCAATCGTAAGGCTAAATAGAGGTATTTTACTGAATTTAGAGGCCGTTTATGTAGAACGTCTTTTTTCAAATTGGTCATTTGCTCGAGAAGGAAAATAATTTACACCTTTTACCTCTTCGGCGGAAAAACTGAAAGAAATCAAGTGTCCAAGCGAAAGCACTGAAAGTTTAACATGTTTAACGTCGCGATTGACACAAGGTAAGTACCTTGAAATGTTTTAGAAATGCTGTTCAAGTTCAGCTCTGTTTTGTACTTTTCTAAGTACCACGATTCAGGACGATTGCAAGCGGCGTACTCTTTTTCGTGTTTTCAGGGGCCATGTCCTCTTTGAAGGTATTTATTTCTTCTTCTGTATATGGGACAATCGACCCCGGCACTTCCTCCGTTGTCGCTTCTCCGTTTTGTTTGGTTGAACTTTGGATTGCCATTTTCTGGGCCGTGTTCACAGGATTTTCTTGTTTTCTGGTTGTCGCGAGTGAAAGAGGTTTTATGTCTCTTCGAGAATCTGTAGTTCAGTTCAAAACAAGGAAGAACCTCCGGCTCACTTTAAAAAACGCTTTTGTTTTTTTTTAACTCTTCAAAAAGTGACAATGAATGGTTTTGAAAACATTTTAAAATGACATTGTAGAAAACCTTTTTTGCATGTTGTTGTGTTAGAATTTGACGATAGTTGTTACGTAGATGCGAAACAATATCGCTTAGCCTCGTTTTCAACTCGCAATTCCACACTAAATACCTCGCTTCGTTAACCAATCAGAATGCGAGATTTTACTTAATTATGCGATTCTGCGTAAAATTGACAGCTGAATAGGCCATTTCCGAGTTCCAAAAAATTTCACTTTCAAAACGAGGCTAAGTGCGAAACCTTTGTTGTGAAAATGAGTTTTATTTGCATCATAATTAAAAATCATTTTCATATCAATGGCTACGCACCTAGCCTCGCTTTGAAAGTGAGATTTTTTGGAACTCGGAAATGGCATATTGAGCATCGTCTCCGTCTTATACAGAGCGAGAGAACGAGTAGTCAGCGGAAACCTCCACAAAAATCCAAGATGGCCGACCGAGTATCAGTATAAAAACAGAGAACCTTGAAAACAGCATGTATACCGTTCGTTTTTACCTTAAATATCTACTAGTGAGGTGTAGAAAAATAAGTGATGACTTTTTTCTGCTAAAAATCTTTGCCAGAGATACTCTTGACAATTATCATCTAGGAAGCAGGCATACTTGTGCTGGAAAATGGCTATATTGCACAGTTGTGCGATGATACGGCAAATGCCACAAACAGGTGACATATGATGATAGCTAGTGGTTCCTAGGCAAGGAAGCTGGGAGAAAAATTTCTGCTCCACCCCAGACTGAGCATATTACTGTAGTCGCGGTAGGGTTTAAGGGCAAAAAAATCCCGCAAATACATGTAAACGAACACTTACTTGACGACATCTGCTTTCACAAATCCATTCAGGACTTTCTTCTCTAGAACGTTGTCGACAACCCAAAAACATATAATTGCAATCTTGAACCTTTTTTCCGTCCGAGAGACCTCACCCTTCAAGTTTAGACGCGAAGTTTTTGATATACGTGACCAGGGACCGTGAATTGTTACAACACCACGATGTTTACGCTTAAATGGAAGCTGCTGACCCAAAATACTGTACAGGAAGAATTATGCTGATAAAAAGGGAGTAAATCATTCCAACAACAAAGAAAGATGTTCTGCAGGAAATTTGGATGACCTTCTATGAAAGTATTGCAAATCAAGGTACACAGACTTAACCTGTTCGGATTTTCATTGAAACTTCTGGTGAATGTGCAATCCACTTCAACTAGGAAGCGAAGTGTGTAACTGATACCGGCTAGCTATTTCACCGATTTGGAGAAGAAGGAGCAAAAATGTTTAAAAAAGTCTACAGTCTTTATTCTGCATTTTACCCCAGTCTGCATTTTACTCTCAGTCTGCAGTCTGCATTTTACACTCAGGGTGCATTTTACCCCTGGTCCGCAGTCTGCAGTCTGCAGTCCGCAGTCTGCGTTTTACACTGACCGTCTAGAAAACACAGACCTCGAAAACACAGACCGCAGACCTTCAAAATGCAGACCTCGAAATTACAAGCCATATATAAGACCTACACATTCGATAAAAACAGTTTAAGAGTGGCGCTTGTTTTCCCCATAGTTTTTGGCTTCTGGGATGCCGACTTTGCTTTTTTCTTCTCAGCAACAACAATGAAAACATGGAAATTGCAGTTTGTCCATTGCCCATTAAGTGCTTAAGTGCTTCAGTGAATAAAAGTTTAACTCGGTCGTAAAATGCCGGGTGGTTCAATGTGAACAAAAATAAAATGAACAAACACTACACAAAAGAAAACACATGGTTTTAGCTTTTAAAAACTGAGAGGGCGAACCCGAAACCAATATTTAATATCAAACACGGAAAAAAAAAAAAAGTTGGCATGGCATGCCATCAGCCAAAAACTGTAGGGGAAACAAGCGCTACGTGTAAACTGTTTTCATGAAATGTCTACATCTTAAATAAGCTGAATACGAGGGCTGCGTATCTGAGGTCTGCGTTTTCGAGGTCTGCGTTTTCAAGGTGTGCATTTTCGAGGTCTGCGTTTTCAAATTTATTCATTTCAGCCACATTCATGTTGAGCACCCCTTTCCATTCAGGGGCCCGACAGTGCTCCCTGACTGGCGTGAATGGCCATCGAGGCGACCCAGCGGAGATGGTGAACATGTCCATGACAGTAACATTGGATCAATTAAGATTTCAGTGAGTATTTGACCTCATACAAGTTGTATCGAATGTTTTTATGACCTAATACAAATTTAGCTATGACCCAATGTTAGATATAATAGCCTGTTTCATAGAATTACGTTTACTTAATGCCAAACCACTGTTGGCAAGTGCAATTAATGAGGGAGTGGTTGTTTGGAACCTTCCGCCTTTTTCTTTTTCATCAACCCGTTGTTGCCGCGATGGATTTTTGGGTGATACTTTATACTAGTTGGCTTAAAAAAAAAGACCTCTTGATTTTAGTGGTATATTTTTCTTTGACAGGAAAGACGAGAACAATCGCCTGACTCTTTTAATAGATTTTAAGAAGGAGAAACAAGACCAGGGGAACCGGTGTTACAGGTAAATCCATCGTTGGTCGCGTATTATCCTTCACAACTTTTACCTTTTAATACATTTAGCTGAAGGTTTGTCCCTACCACCAGCTGCCGGGAACAGCTAAATAATGATAGTTTTATTCATTCCTCGTTGTTGTTATCGCCTACACTGAAAGAGTGTCCCCCCAGGGGGGACACTCTATTGAGGCGGGGGTACTCAATTATAACAGTGATGGGGAAGCACGAAACCCCTTTTCTATGGGATAAGAAAAATCTAGAATCAAATCGAAATTCAAATATCTGTGTTATAAAAATAGAGTTCGATCCGTGGTATCGTCCTTCGCAGCTAAAATTTGGAAAAAAATTCACAACTGTATTCCCATTTTCCCTTCCCTTTTTTTGTAGATTGACAGATGCAATAAACTAGGGTAACATCCGTAAACCGTGTATTTGGCAATTTAATGGTATGACAGAAGTACGAACCTAGGGTGATGCTGTGAACATGGCCCTTTACAAAGAAAACAGATCATACTGGTCCACGGGCATCAGGGTTTCCATCATATTTGGCATGCTTCTTTGAACATTTGCTTTACAACGAATCCATGTATCCTGTAATAACGACTTGAGAAGATAACCAGTTTAGATAGATATAGGTCTATATTGTGGGCTTTATGACTGACTTACACTAGTACTATTTTCAGGTGTCCATTCCATGTCACGCCGCTGAGCGATGGATCACCCTATGCCGCCGCTGTAATTAGCATTCTTCTTCTTGCCAGTGCAAGGAGCATTTGCCCTCACACTGATAGAGGCCTATGAAAGTGGCGATTTCGCTTTCAGGGAGGAGGCAAAATCTTGGCCGCTGTTGTGCCATGTCAATAACTCGAGTGGCAAGATAAACGTGAGTCTTAAATCACACATTCTTTCCCATAGAGTTTCCTTTTTTTCCACTTGGTTAAAAAGTGCTTGTTATGCAGGACACACAACAGTGGAAAAACTGGGTAGCAAATTGTTCCGAGGTGTAAGGACATCAAAACATGCTTTAACTGCCAATGACTTACATGTCAAAAGGATGAAAAAAATATGCATCCAAACAGGATGTAATGATAATTCGGTTCAGTAACTACTCCATCCATTCATTACAAGGTACGAGGTTTGCATTAGTTGTTTGTCTGAGTGCATAATTATCAATAATTCTTTTGCCACTTCTACTGTAAACATGAATTCGGGTAACATGAGAGTATTTATATCCCTATCAAGGATGCTATATGGATGTCATTTGTATACTTTGGTTTATTCTCTAAGTTTTCTAAAAAAACTTTATGCAACAAAAACTTCACATTTTATGATAAGAAATCCTTGCAAATTTTCATTCCCAGATGCTGTTCAGTTTAATTTCCATTTATCGCTAACGCTTAAGACAATGCAATCTTATTCCGGTGTTTTTTCTTATTTTAGAACAACAAACCCCTCAATGATTTAACCAGCCTCTTCAAGAGGGTGGTAGTGAAAGCCGGGTTTGACCCGAGGAGGATAACCCACCACTGTAACAGGTCGGTAAGTTCATTTTCTTTACTTAAACGTGGAGTCATAACTGCATGCGGAACCAATTTGAGGGAAAATAGTTTTAGTGGAAGAGAAGCCTCTGGTATGTTTTGATGGACGAAAGACGTGCTCGCCGACGACTATCTGGAAAAGGAATCTTGCCTCTCAAAAACTGGTTATGATCTTCCTTTATTCTTTTCAGGGATTTGCCACTACCTTTATAATCAACCAGATGGTTGATAACAATGGGGTCTTTCCGCGGGAAGCAATCTCCACCCTGTGTCGCCTCGCAGGGGGGCACTTGGGCCCTCTATATCAAGGAGGTAATGGAGAGGCACTTAGACACAAGTACCTACATCTACAGGTAAAAGCATGCATATGGGGTATACTTAATCGCTTATATGTGCCAATGTTGTATGAAGAAGGGCAAATGCACGATTTATTGAAATGGCTGGGTCTTGCGCGCTGATTAGTAAAGGTGGTAGTGCATTTTTCCCCCTTTCTTCCTTGTCTTGGTGAAAGTGAGACCCCTATTGCTGGTGGAAAGAGCCGCAATGTGAAGGGACTGAGAAAAAAGTGCTCGGGTCATCTATCCTCTGGCACTTCATCGAAGATCTAATCAATCAAATCAATCACCACGTAACACCTAGCAGCTCCCACAAGCTCGTAATCGAACATGGAATGTAACTGTAATTTTCTTGTGGTACTACTCAGAAGCGCAGAGGCTTTAGAGTGATCACTAAACCTTTTCGAGAGTTCCTAGCTCTGCCTTCGTAAACTTATAGTTTCATCTCATCATTTTCAAGGTTATTTAAAATCCAAAGCCGGCAAACATAAATTACTGAGCATACTGGTAAATAGAGGGGTTAACGCAAAATGAAATAGATAGAGAAAATAGATTTGAAGATAAAATCAAGCCCCAGTTTACAGACACTCGTCGTTAATACTGAAACTTTCTGTGGACCCGCAGTGTCCATGAGAACGTGGTTTGAGTATAGCCCCAATTTGATAATACTGTAAGACTGGGGCTTATGCCATTTCTCCCCGGAAACGAAAATATTGCGTAATTGAATTTCTCTTGTTGTGCTATTGTCATCGCAGGGATCTAAGAACCGAGAAAACTTCATACTTGAAGGCCATCAAAACAAGTGTCAACTACCGCCTCGTTAAACCAGAAAAAAACTTGGTTACAAGAGAGGACTGCCTTCAATCCGACGAATCATCATTCATCAAATTTGAAGATTCGTTTAGAGACGAGGTGTTGAAAACAACAATAGGGGAGGCCAGTGAAGGTAAATAAATTATTCCATTTCTTAAAAGACATGTTCGAGAAATTGAGCGATCATGAGTCTTTCACATCCTAAACTAGAATAACAGTCTCTTTTCTCTTTACACATACAGCTCTAAAACGCCTCAAGACCGGAACCAATCAAGAGGAAACTTTTAATGGTAAACATGAGGATTACATTAAATAGCTTAAAATTTTTAAGAGTAGTGCGGTCACCTTTGAGGTGCTTTCTCAGTTTCCTTTTTCCTTTTTCAGACCAGATTCCTGAACTATGACTTTTATTTGTTTCCCATGAAAGTACTTGGAGCCATACGCATAGTCATTTCATGTATTAAGCTTGTCTGAATCTGATTCATATATACTGTTTAACTCATGCGATCACTCAGGCTATTTCTCAATTTACCCTTTCCTTTTTTCGGAGATACCATACTTTACTAAAAACAGGTGTGGATGGTGACCTTACTTACCCGACGTTCAAATGCCTTTATAAATTGATGACTCTCTCGGCTGTCTCCACCTCCTTTTCACACGTTATGAGGAATAGTTGGACATAAACATTTAAGATCTATTGGTTTGACTATGTGGCTAGTATATATTTAAGTAACGATCCGGGTAAGGTGGATAGCAATTTCTTTTGTTATGCGGCAATGGTGCTTTCCCCACATAGGAATGTTCTCATTTTTACACAGAGAATGCATAAACCTCATGAAGGCCGTTTACCCAATAAAATGCATTTACACTCCACTTTGAAAGGGTGTTTTTTTGTATTAAAAGATTTTGGCCATTGACAAGAGTTGAAAACAATAGCCAAGAAAAGTTTACAATTTGACATGTTCCCCACATAGGATTTCTTTGTTATTCAAACTGAGACCAGATTTTGTTGTATGGAAGATGGCTGGAAAGTAAGGATGAATATATGTACGCCTTTATGCAGTTTTGTTAACTTTTGCTGTTTAAGCCAAACAGAAGTAAGTACAGACAATAGAAAAGTTAGCGTATTTTTGCATTCCAACATGTTCGTTGCCGTTGTTGCTATCGTTCTTATCTGGACCGTTTCTTAACACTTTTGGCCGTATTATATAAGATCCGATTGAGCCAATTAATTCTTATCTTTTGATCATAGGTTTGAGTCGGGAGAAATTAGAAACCCGCCTAAAAGCAGCAAAGTTGCGTGCAGTGGCTCAGTTTGCCACTGCGCGTAACAATGAAATTCACGATAGGCAGTGGGGACTGCCCCAAGCACCAAACCCCAACAAGGAGGTAAGAGTCGTATATAATATTGGAAAGCATTCCGCGTATTTAATCGGCAAAACAAGACGCTACGGAGCGTACACTTCGGCGTCGTGGTTGTGGAACTAATTAATTGTAAATGCGGAGGAATAGTAAGAAATCAAATATGGTAAGAGTAAGGTGTTAATTTGTGAATTACGGGATTTGTCAGGATATTCTGAAAAGAGCAGCATCCAAGAGGCCTACTTGCCAAAAACTTGCATTTCGGGACAAATTGTCTCCGAGATATTAGCCCAGTTATGCTCTGATGACTCCATACAAATCCTTCTAAAAAAACAATTCTCTATTTTTCTTAGTCACATCAGACTTCAAAAACAGCATAGCGGTCTCATCTACTGATTAAAGATATGTAAGGCATGGGTAAGGAGTCAATTACGTTGAGCATGGAATTGGCTGAAACTCAAAGTCACGAGTTCGAATGTTTTGAGGATAATTATTCACTGACTATCAGCACGCAGGGATGTCGGATTAACACAAGGAAGTTTAACACCAAAGGAACACAGCCTTTACAGAGCTTTAAAACACAGCATCCACCAACACAAACTTGACTTGAACTTTGAGTAAAACTAAACAGCGTCTACCAATAATAACAAACTCTCACTTGAACTTCAGATATCTTACGGCTTCCGCGAACTTGTAAACACAATACCTGAAAATCGACCTTCGTCACACTTGACTAAATACAGCAGTCCAGCATTTTGTAACTTTAAATTCATCATAAAACAGTTCTAAAGGAGGGCTCACTCGTGAAATGTTTTTCAACACTCGAAGAGAAATTTCGTGTCTCTGCGAAGCCACAAAATATCCTCTATTTATTCCTCTAGTAATTAAAGACTAAACTCGAAGTGATCTCAAGATATCACGAAGTGGTCCGGTCTCATTTCGTGAAATAGTTGAAACAAGCAGAAAAGTCACGAACTTGCACGCCCAATCTTGTCCCGAAACTAGTGCATCATTTCATAACTATTTTTCATGTCCCAAACTACCTTGGGTCGCAGTAGCGCAATCGACTAATCTCTCAACTTAGAGTCTCCTCTGATCTGACGGGTCACACAGGTGAGTCGGTTCAAACCCCGGGAAAGCCAAAATAATAATTCTTTCTTCCTCGAAAAAGTTAAAGAATAAATCAAAGAAATCGAAGTGATATCGAGATATCTCGAATTAATTCGGCTCTCACTTCTTCAAATAGCCGAATAAAACCGAAAACCTACAGACTTTGCATGCCCAATCTTGTCAAAAAATTGTAACTTTGATACATTCCTGAGCGTCGCGAAACCTTTACTTCGCGCTCCGCCGAAGTAATAACGTTCCCCAAGTTTACAGACACTCGTTCATTTTCACTCAATTCAGCCTCTGTTTAATGTGGACGCCTCGTTAATACTGACACTTTCTGTGGACCCGCAGTGTCCATGATAACGTGGTTTGATTATAGCCCCAATGTGATTAGACTGTGAGACTGGGGCTTATGTCATTTGTCCCCGGAAACGAAAATATTGTGTAATTGAATTTCTCTTGTTGTGCTATTGTCATCGCAGGGAGTTGAGAAATGACAAGACCTCGTTCTTAAAGAATATTAAAACGAGCTACAACTATCGACTCATTCAGCCTGCAAAAAACTTGGTTACAGGAGAGGACTGCCTTGAATACGACGCCTCATCATTCCTCAGATTTGAGGATTCCTTTCCAGACGTGGTGTTGAAAGCAACAATAGGGGAGGCCAGGGAAGGTAAATGAATTATTCCATTTGTTAAAAGACATGTTCGAGAAATTGAGCGAACATGAGTCTTTCACATCCTAAACTAGAATAACAGTCTCTTTTCTCTTTACACATACAGCTCTAAAACGCCTCAAGACTGGAAACAATCGCGAGGAAACTTTGAATGGTAAACATGAGGATTACACTAAATGGCTTAAAATTTTAAGGGTAGTGCGGTCACCTTTGAGGTGCTTTCTCAGTTTCCTTTTTAGTTTTTCAAACCAGATTCCTGAAGTATGACTTTTATTTGTTTCCCATGAAAGTACTTGGAGCCATACGCATAGTAAGCGCGGCAGATACCTATCGCCGGTCATTTCATGTCTTAAGCTTGTCTGAATCTGATTCATACGGTTTAACTCATGCGATCACTCAGGCTATTTCTCAATTTACCCTTTCCTATTTGCGGAGATACCATACTTTACTAAAAACAGGTGTGGATGGTGACCTTATACTTACATGACGTTCAAATGCCTTTATAAATTGATAACTCTCTCGGTTGTCTCCACCTCCTTTTCACACGTTATGAGGAATAGTTGGACATAAACATTTAAGATCTATTGGTTTGACTATGTGGCTAGATATTTTTGGCCGTATTACATAAGATCCGATTGACCCAATTAATTCTTATCTTTTGATCATAGGTTTGAATCGGGAGAAATTAGAAACACGCTTAAAAGCAGCAAAGTTGCGTGCAGTGGCTCTGCGTTTGCCACTGCGCGTAACAATGAACGTCACGACATGCAGTGGGGACTGCCCCAAGCACCAAACCCCAACAAGGAGGTAGGAGTCCTATATATTATGGGAGAGCATTCCTCATATTTAGTCGGGAAAATAACGTTCCCTAGATCCAAGTTCTCAACTTATTTGGAGGGTCCATTCAAATAACTCTTTGACAATATACATTCTGAAATGCGACGACCACGGTGACGGCAACGGGAACGTCAAAAAAGCAATACGTAGCGATGATCTAAGATTAGCAAAATAACAACTTTGCACGTGCATCGCGCTTTTTTGTACATTTCTTTGCCGTCACAGCACGACTACGACGTGAAAATGCCTAATTTTACGATAGACAAGCTACTACGAAATTTTCTTTCTCTTTCTGAACCTGGATATGGTTTTTAGGAACTCTGGGAGAGTTCGCTTCAAAATTTGACAAAGTAAGTTAGTGGGAACTGTCGCGGCGAAGGTTGAATGAACGCAAATTCACTTGTTGCCGCTGCCGTTTCCTCCCTCTGATGTTAAGGTCACTATTGATAGGGGAAGGGAAGCGGTCTTGTATGTGCTAAAACGTAAAGGTCGCCCAACTTTACAACAGGGAGTTTGAGAATTACCAAGACTAGATGACAACAGATAAGCAATCGCGATTTGCCATACTTTGATAACTGAAGACAAACTATCCTGGACATGAATTCTTTTGTGATAAATTGGCTGTCGCCTGCTTCTGTCCGAAGTTGCGCGGTTACAACAGAGGAATGTACAAAAAAAGGGTGTTTTCTTACCGAGGCGGTATTTCACAATTTTTGCCCGTCGTGACATCTTAAATTCACCAATATTTAACCTTTCACCTATTGCAGGCATTCAAACATCCCTTGTCAATAAAGGAATATATTTGGAAAGAAATACGCCCCTATCAGAAAACGACCTAGTCCTGAGGAGATTTTCCCCGGTGGATTACGGGCAGCCCCTCACGGAAGCTGTAATTTGTCCCTACAGTGGCTGCCCGTTCTCCACCGGCGATGGAGAGGCGATGAAACGCCACCAACAGGAGACCAGGCACCCTGGATGGGGGCGCTGCGAAGAAAAACCCGTTGACAAGAAGTGGATCTGCCCTAA